AATATTCCTCGGCCGCTCCTCTTGCTCCCACGGCCGGGCACCAGGCTCCTCCTCCAGGCGTGGTCAGCCCTTCGCCCGCGTCCCAAAGGCCTGGCGGGGGGGCCTCACCCGTTCCAGCTGGACCATTGGTCAAGCTAAACACCCCTCTCCCCTCTCCCCCCTCCCCCTCGAGCCTCCTCCTCCTCTCCCCCTACTTCCCCTCCTCCTCCTCCTCCTCTTCTTCCTCCCAAGCCCCTCCCTCTCTTCACAAACCCCTTCCCTCCCTCCAGATCCACCCTCTCCCCTCTCCCCTCCCTCTTCCCCTCCCCTCCCTCCTCCCCCCCACCCCCTCTCTCCACCCGTACCACTCGTCCAATGACTTATGAACATTATCTTGACTTAGCAACAAAGAGGGTTGTTGATACTACGAATTTTAGCTCTCGGGGATCTCAATGCTAATTTGGCCGCCGAGGGATTGGCCATTCCACTTACCAGAAAAATTACCCGGGGCTACATTATGCAAGCTTCACTGGAGCGGACCCGCGGCTTTCTTCGGCTCCTTCCTTCCTTCTCTCTCTCTCTCTCTCTCCCCTTTTTTCCTTCGTCTTTATTCTTCGTTTTGGTTTATATCCTTTTCGGGAAGATGCGAAGAGAGGGAGGGGAGGAGAGAAGGGAGGGTGTGGAAGAAGAAAAATTGAAATGCGTTGGGAGGGATGGAGGGAGGGAGAGAGAGGGAAAGGGAAAGGCAGAAAGAGAGAGAGAGAGAGACAGAGAGAGAGAGAGAGAGAGAGAGAGAGAGAGATGACAGAGAGAGAGAGAGACAGACAGACAGAAAGAGAGAGAGAGAGAACCAACCAATATTTTTTTTCTTCCTTTTTTTTCCCCTTTTTTTATCGAACCTTAATCAAGCGAACCAATACAAGTCGTGCATTATGCGTCCCCAGTCAGGCGGAGCAAGTGCCAGAAAGACTTCGAAACAGCCAAGGACGGAACTACCTTCACCCAAGCAGTTCGTCCTTTTGGCTAATCTGCCTTTCAGAAGCTCGTACAAGGAGGAGGACGGGGGGAGAGGAGAGGGGAGGGGGGAGAGGGGAGAGGGGGTGAGGGGAGGTGGGGGGAGAAGGAGAGAAGGGGAGAGGGGAGGGGAGAGGGGGAAGGGAAGAAAGGGAGTGGAAGGGAGGAAGGGGGGAGGGGGGAAGGGAGAGAAGGAGGGATGGGGAGGGGCCATTCAGTTTTTTTTTTTTTTTTTTTTTTTTTTTTTTTTTTTTTGTAAGTCCCGTGATTCTCATATACGTCGCTCTAATCCATCTCGAAAATGCAAGACGTAAAATTGGCAGTTTCGAGACGACCAGCCAAGCCGAAAAAACCTTGGGACGTGTTGCAACCGAGAATATTTTCTGATGGTTTTGATAGTTGCGGAGAACTATTGCAACGACGCTTCACTTGTAATAGAGTTTGTTTTTTAATGTAGCATGTCATTGCAATATTTATGAACATGAGTTTCCCTTATTGTCTATATAAAATGTTGCATGATATTGCAAGACTTATCAATACGAGTTGTCCTTATTATCTACATAAAACGTTGCATATTATTGCAATAATAATCTACTCCAATTTCTCTTTTTTTACCTGCATTCAACATTGCATACAATTTCAATATCTATTTTATTCTTCCATTATATCCAACGCTTCATATCATTACAATCCTTATCAACATGAATTTACCTTCCATTTTTAACTTTATATTTCATAAAAAAATATTTAATACTTATCAGCACCAATTATATTTTCTTTATTTTCTTCCGATATCTCGAAGCTCATTGAGTCACCTCCTCATGCAACCAGTCTATCTTAGAATTAGCTTTTATTATCTCTAATTAAATTTATTACGCCGAGATGTACAAGGGTTCTTAAGTACGTGCACGCCAACGGGCTGCTGAGGTGGTGATGATGATGATGTGCGTGTGTGTGTGTGTGTGTGTGTGTGTGTGTGTGTGTGTGTGTGTGTGTGTGTGTGTGTGTGTGTGTGTGTGTGTGTGAGAGAGAGAGAGAGAGAGAGAGAGAGAGAGAGAGAGAGAGAGAGAGAGAGAGAGAAAGACAGAGAGCGAGAGAGAGAGAGAGAAAGAAAGAGAAAGACAGAGAACGAGACAGACAGACAGACAGACAGAGAGCATTTCCCAAGAGCTCCGGTTTGTCCTTTTTCGGATAATTTTAGATCCCAGGCGAGTCCTCATTCATACCGACTGACGGCGCTGTTTAAATTCAAAATGGCTTTTTTAGTGTAGGGGTTATGTACTGGTTGGGCGAGAGAGGGGGGGGGGAGGGAGGGGGTTGGGGCGTGAAGGAGGGAAGGAGGGGGGGGGAAGAGAAAGAGATAACGAAAATTCTTTCATCTTCAATACGGCGGGTGTATAAATGCATACGTACATACATACATACATACATACATAGGTAAGTAAGTGATTACATACATACACCAAATACATATATGCACAGATGAATATATAGAGGCATGCACACAGACACATACACACACACATACACACACCCACCCACACACACACACACATACACACACAAACACCCACACCCACACACACACACACAAACAAACACACCCACACCCACACACAAACACACACACACACATACACAAACACACACACACATATATATATATATATATATAAACACAAACACACTCGCACACACATTTATATATATTCATACACCCATTTATACCAGCACAAACCCCGGAAAGCTAAGGCCGCCGCCCACACCCACAATAAACAACGCCCGGCAGGATAATGATAAGCATTTTGGAGAATAAAAATCCGCGGCCAAATGAGGTTTCAGATAATTAAAGAACTTCCCCGTGTAATGGCGGGACGCTGCGAGACCTATCCCCGGGAAGAAGAAGAAGGAGAGAGAGAGAGAGAGAAAAGAAAAAAAAAAAGAGAAAGAGAGAAAAGCTATAAAATATTAATGCCCTAATAAACATGTCCATTTTGGTTGGTGTCGGCTATTCAATAGATTTCATACCGTCCGCGCCCCGTCATCGTGGCTGGAGCGGGGGGAGAGGGGGGAAGGGGTGTGGGGGGAGGGGGAAGGAGGGGGAGTGGGAGAAAGAGAGGAAGGACAAGAAGAAGAAGAGGAGGAGGAGGAGGAGAAAGAAAGGGTAAATATAAAAAACCAAGGAACAGGACAAGCAAAGACAGGAAATGGGAGAGGGCGAGAAGAAAGAGCTAGAAGCCTGTGAGAGAGGACAACGCAAAACAACAACAACAATAATAATCTAAAAAAAAAAAAGAAATAGGACAAGAACTTGCAAATCCAAGCCGAGAGAACTCCAACATGCCCGCCAAAGATCGAAATAAATTAAGCCCGAGACCCAGCTGACGGAGAAAGACCCGGATGAAAACGACAGTCCCCCCCACCCCCTCCCTCCTAGCCGATGTCCCCACGTAGGCAGGTCCGGCGACGAGGCGAGGTCGCTGATAAGGGACACATCGAAAGGGGGGAATAGAAGGACGCGGAAGGATACAGCTCCGACACTGATGGATGGAGGAGGGAAGCGGGAAGAGACGAGAGGAGGAAAAAGGAGATAAAGAGACGGCACGCGGCGGCGGGATCGAAATCACCAGTTCGCACATTCAAATCCGCGCAAAATGGCGGTCCGAGGCCAGCAGCCGTCGCGGCCCGAGACGTCCGAGAAGGAATGGGAAGAAAACAAGAAATAAATGAAGGCCAGAGAGAGGGAAAGATAAGCAACAAGCATAAGACGCGATGGGCATGTGCCGTGGGTACCAACAGCGGCGTCCCACCTCCCAAATGCTATAAATCGAGAAGGAGCTTCTCCGTTTTCTACGATATCAGCTGGCGGGGAGTCTCCCTGAATACCAATATCCGAGGATGGTAACCCGATATTCAGCTTGCGTTTATTTATAAACTTACACGGACGATGTTAGATAATTAAAAGCATGTAAAGCTTTTATATATTGCATGAAAGTTTATGGAAATTAGCGATTAGCATACGTTCGTCATGACAGTTGGAACCTGACATGTTTTGAATATTAAGAGCGCGGGATCTGATAGGACCAGGTCGCCATTATAACACGAGTTCCCGCCTTCACAAGAAAAACAACAAATATAAACTCTTAATGATCTTTCCCTTGCTCCCTCCCCCCCTGCCCCTGCCCCCTCCCCCTCCCTCCGTCCCTTCTCTCTTTCCTTGTCTTTCTTTCTTTCCTCTCTTTCTCCCTTTTCATCCCGAACGTTTCAGAAATAAGCTACAGGTCCGGCAGAACAATGGCTGCGAGTCGGTTTTATCTGTGAGGTTAATGAATGCCAAGGTACAAACGAGGCGTTCGAATTTGGAAAAAGTTGGCCGGCGGACGGATTATAATAAAAGCCGCGAAGGTGATGTGTAAACCACGGTAAGGCTGCGCTTCCTATGCAGCGAGCGTCGGCCGACTGTCGTAAAAATGCAGATCGTAAGTGTTATAAAAAAGGGGAAGAGTCGAAGCAGAGCATATGGCATTCCGACTTGAAAAGAATGCGAGAGAATAACCTATCTTTTAATCACTCTTCAGGGGTGTGGAAGGTATAGAAGTCTAAATTAATAGGAGTGCTCTCAGGGATATAATCTCGGCGAGAGACCACGGCGCCGGGATGTACCTCCCGGGCCATCTCGCGAAGGTCTGAGAGCCCGCCGGGAAATAAAACCAGCCGTATTACGGTTTATGACACAGTGCATGAGGGGTTTATGAGGCCCTGCATGAGGGCTCCGGACGGGGGGAGTGGGTGTAGCAACTCCTCAAATATGCATAAACAATTTCCCAATACATACATAATTCGGCCGCACTAAAACACAAAAATGTTCTAACCCCGCGCCCTCTCCGCCGTTCCCCCGGGCGACCCTCCCCGACGTTTCCCAGGAATGCCGAGCCAAAGCGCGGGAAAACCGGAATCATCTTCTATCGCTTTTGTAATCCGAGAAAATCAAACTCATCACGACTTACCTGTAGATGTGGGCGTGGTGGGCGTGGTGGGCAAGGACTTGTGGGTGTCCATCGTGGGGGGGAGGGGGACGCCATGCCCTGGGACGCCCTTCCCGTCCTGAAGAGCGGCCAGGGTGAGCAGCGTGGAGAAGTTGCCTCCGCCGAGCATCTGCCGGAAAGAAAACGTTTTAGTATCGGAATAAGACACGCTTTACACAGACTATCAATAAACCATAAAATCAACCCAAAGAAAAGACGACGATAACAGCCCACAACACACGATAAACTCAATAATAGCGGCAATAACAATTAATAATCGCGAGATGAACAAAGCAAAACAAAACAACAGCGCAGACGACAATAGCAAGCCGCAGGAATGCAAAAATAATAAAACGGAACCGAACCCAAGCTGGCCAACAATAACCTCGAATAATAATAATAAAAGCAAGACTGATACAAGCCACTACAAGGTTAAAGAGCAGAGAATAAAGAAAGGAGAAAGAGCCAGAGATGAGAGCCAGCAAGAGGCCTGATCATCACAACAACGCCATCACCAACACACTAAGTAGAAGTAACACTGAACAACGCACTAAAACGGTAGGATAATTACTGCCCGCGTTGGCAATAAACAGGAAAGGATGGCCGCATTATCATAAAAAAAGGAAAATAAACAATCGAAGGTAAATAAGAATGATGATAATGCTAGTGAGGATCATCGTACTGTTACTAATAAACTGTAGCGCAGGTTTTTTTTTATCAGCAATCGTGTGTTAATATTAAGATGAATTATTCACAAAGTAAATACCTCCATTTTTGATATAAACGATGTACTCAACAACCCAATAAAGAAGAGAGAAAACGATCTCTTTATTTTCCCCCTCCGACGCTCCTCTCTCTCTCTCTCTCTCTCTCTCTCTCTCTCTCTCTCTCTCTCTCTCTCTCTCTCTCTCTCTCTCTCTCTCTCTCTCTCTCTCTCTCTTTCTCCCCCTCCCTCTGTCTCTCGGTCTCTCTTTTTCTATTTTCGTTTTTCTCTTAACGTGTACAAAACAAACAAAACCATCAGCATCAGCTACACGAAGCGCCCAACAAACAACTCTTTCCGATAAGATCGCGAGAAGGGAGTTGCAGAAAATTTGAATATTCCAGCGGGACTCCGGCCGGGACCGCGGAGGTGTCTGCGGCCGCGGCGGTGGCGTCGTCCTCCTCCTCCTCCGGGAGACCCAGATACGCTGCCCCTCGGTCCTCCTCCCCTCGAGGCTCACTGCCCGGCCGCCGTCTCGAGTCCGCGATGAAACCCGATAATATTCGCTTGTGATTGTATACAAATTGCGAGATGATTTGCATATCGACAGCCAGCCGAGAATAAAATGAGGACGTGACGGGGGTGGCCAAGGGACGTACCCAGGTCCTAGCGGAGGGCGCAGTTGGGGTCGCCTCTTGGGATGCTGCAGCAGGACGCCCGCGACGCTCTCGGGGTTTCCTGGCTTCTTTCTGTATCGAAGGACGCGTGATGCTGCATGAGAAGGATACCACGGGATGCATTTAGCGAACCCGAGCGCGGACGGCCTTTTACGGCGAAGAACATATAGGGTTAGTGAAAGAGAGAGAGAGAGAGAGAGAGAGAGAGAGAGAGAGAGAGAGAGAGAGAGAGAGAGAGAGAGAGAGAGAGAGAGAGAGAGAGAGAGAGAGAGAGAGAAGAGGGGAGAGGGAGGGATAGAGAGAGAGAGAGAGAGGGAGGAAGAAGGAGAGAGACAGATAGAGGAAGAAAAAAAAGATAAACAAATTAAGAAAAAGAGACGAAGAAAACGAAAAAGAGAACAAAGAGAAACAGAGAAAGAAAATAAAACAGGGAACAAAAAGAAAGAGATAGGAAGAGATTAAGATAGAAAGAGAGAGAGAGAGAAAACAACACAAACACAAAGATGCTAAAGAAACTCCCTTGTCCTCATTTCGCTCGTAATTAAAACAGCTTCATAGTCATCTTGCCAATTTTGATGATCGAAAACTTGTTTGCATAGACGCTGATAAGACGTGGCTCACTGCTCGCTCCTCCTCTTCCTCCTCCTCCTCCTCCTCCTCCTTCTCCTCTTCTTTTTCTTCTCCTTTTTAATTAGTCTCTTCCTTTTTTCATCCTTATTTCTTTTCTATTTCTTTTCATTTCTTTTTCTTTTTCATCTTCTTCCATTTCTTCTTCTTCTTCTACTACTTCTTTATTTTTCTTGTTCTCTTTCTTCTCCTTTTATTCCTCCTCTTCGATCTTTTTTTCGCTCTTCTCTCTTCTTATTCTTTTCATCCTTCATATTCTTTTCTTTCTTCGCTAATTCCATCTGTACATCATCATTATCATCCTCTTTTCTCTCCTCCTCTTCGTTATCATCATCCTTATACTCCACCTCCTCTTCCTCTTCCCTCTTCTCCTTCTTCCCATCATTATCATCATCTTCCTCCTCCTCTTCCTCCTCCTCATCTTCATCTTCCACTCCCCCCTCACTCTCAGATCCCCCCTCCCCCCCTCCATCTCCACCCCCACTACCCCCCCCCCGCCCCCCCGCCCCCCCCATTCTCCTCTCCGTCACAGCATCCACCAAGATTAACAGCGCGAAGGCATCTCAGACATCTCGGAGCGTGGGAAAATCCAGCGAAGATTTCCCACGATTCTATTTAAATCCTTGCCGGCTTTTCTTTATTTTTTTCTTCTTTCTCTTTTTACCTTTCTCGTTTACCTTTTTTTTCATTCTTGTTTTTTTTTTTCTTTATTTCTTTCTCTTCGTTCTATGGAGAGAAGAGACGAGAATAAGGGGGTATTTTTTAATCAATAACGACGAAGATTAGGAATGTGAAATAAGTAGTGGAGAGAGAGAGAGAGAGAGAGAGAGAGAGAGAGAGAGAGAGAGAGAAAGAGAGAGAGAGAGAGAGAGAGAGAGAGAGAGAGAAAATCATAATAAAAAAGAGAAAGAACAAAAAGAAGTAATAAAAAACAATCTTTCCCCCCATTAAAAGACGAAACCCATTCACCATTTATTCGGAAAATTAACCCCTACCCCCCCCTCTACCCACCTTTTCTCCTTCACCCATTCCTCACAAGAGCATGCTTTTACGACTCCCAAGCGGCGTGACACGGCCGTTATAACACGCAGAACACATGTAAAGAACAGCCATAAACCTCACGCCGGAAGCCAAGAATATAACGAAATCCGGGCCAGGTGGATTTACGCCGCTGAGCATGCGCGTTGCGACGTCCCAGTTCACGCGAGGGCTTGAGGCGCGTCGCTCGTGTCTCCTCCGGCCGGCGGCGGCGGTGGGGGCTGTTCTTGTTGTTGGTTGATGTTGTTGTTGTGGTTGTTTGTGGTACCGGTGGTGTGGGTTGTGGTGTTGTTGTAGTTTATTTTTCAATTAACATTATTATTATTATTGCTGCTGTTGTTATTATCATCATTATTGTTATCATTATTATTATAATTATTATTATTATTATTATTATTATTATTATTATTATCATCATCATCAACATTATTGTTATTACCATTATTATTGTTATTATCATTGTCATTGTTATCATTATTATTATCATTATCATAACATTAATTGCTATTACTATTATCATCAACATCATCATCATTGTCATTACTGCGTTTATCAGCAACCATTTCCAGATCTCAAAATAGACCTCGGTGTAATTTTTTGCGTTCATCTACATCTGTATTCACATCTTTTTTATTCCTTTTTTTTTTAGCTTCTCTGATTTCGAGGATTGTCAGTCTGATCTACGACACCCTTCCCCCCTCCCCTCGTTCCCCCCTTTTAATTCTAGACATTTTCGTGAGGGGAATTCCCTGCTTGTCTCCCTCCTCCCCCCTCCCTCCCCACTCCCTCCCTTTCCCCCTTACCGTCGCTATCCTCCTCCTCTCTCCTCCCCCCTCCCTCCCTTCCCTTACCTTCTCCTCCTTCCCCCTCTCCCCTCTTTTTCTCCCCCTCCTTCCCCCTCTCCCCTCTTCTTCTCCCCCTCCTTCCCTTCCCCTCTTTATTTCCTTCCTCCTTGAGATCTTCGAAGGGGAAATCTGGCATGAAGAGGAGCTTCCTTGTCACAATAAATCGACTTGGTGTAAGCGACTTCAAGGGGCGGAAAATGGGGGGGAGGGGGAGGGAGGGGGAGGGAGAGAAGGGAAGGGAGAGAGATGGAGGGATGGAGAAAGGGAGGGCGGAAGGAGGGGGGTGCAGGAAGGGAGGGATAAAGGAAGGGAGAGGGGCAAAGAAGGGGAGGGAGAGGGAGAGAAGTGAAGAGAGAAGGATGGAGGGAGGAAGGGAGCGTCCGTGGGAGGGGGAGGGGGGGGGGGGGGGGGGGGGGGGGGAGGGGGGGGGGGGGGAGGGGAGGTTGGGAGGAATGGTACTTAGAGGAAGAGGGGAGACATGCAGGTACCGAAACGAGGATTGAAATACTGCTTGTATTTCTTGTCATTTCTCCCTCTTCCCTTTTCGTTTCCCGGTTTATCTTTATTTAATTCTTTTTCTTTTCTCATTCGCCTTTCTATTCATCTTTGTATTTCTATTCTTTTCTTTCATCTTCATCTTCTCTATGTCTATTTCCTTTTCCATTTTATGATTATTGTCGTTGTCACTTTTTTCATTCGCATTATTATCATCCTCATTGTCCTCATATTCATTATCATCACTTTCATTATCGCTCCCTTCCTTCTCTCCTCTCCTTCCCCTTCTCATCCACTTTCCTCTATTCCCTTTCTCTCTCTTCTCCTACTCCTCCTCCTTCTCCCTCTCCTCCTCCTCCTCCTTCTCCCTCCCCCTCTTCCTCCTCCTCCTCCCTCTCTCTCCTCCTCTCCTCCTCCCTCTCTCTCCTCCTCATCCTCCCTCCCCCTCCTCCTCCACCTCCTCCCTTTCTCTTCTCCTCCTCCTCCTCGTCCACTTGCCACTCCCCTCCCCCGCTCTCCTCTCCATCGACATATCTGCCACACATGCAGAACATCCGCGAAAGGCCCTCCCTCCCTCCCTCCCTCCCTCCCTCTCCCTCCCCCTCTCTCCCCCTCTCTCCCACCCTTCCTCACACCCTCTCTGCCTCACCCTTTCACCCCCCCCCCCGCGTTATTTTCGGTGTCTTTGCTCCCGTCCGGTATTAGGGTGGAGGGAGAGGAGGAGAGAAAGAAGGGAGGGAGGGAG